ATGATCAGTTGACACGTCATCGATCATCAGGGAAGTGCAAACCACAGCAACAAGGAGGTACCATGTCACACCTTCTAGAAAGGGGAGAATAACAAACCCATGTAAAACCAAGTGTTAGCAGCACGGCTCAGTGGCTCAGTTCGTTAAGCAGCCGACTCTGGATTTTGACACCGGTCATGACCATGGTCATGGTCGTCAGATTGAGCCCCAGGTCAGGTTCTGTGCCCATGAGGAGTCTGCTTGAGAGCCCCTCCCCCGCTCCCCACCGTCACCTGTCCCCTGCTTCCATGCATGGTCTCTCTCAAATAAATAAATAAATAAATTCTTTAAAAAAAAAAAAAAAAGTGTTGCCAAGGATACAGAAATCAGACGCCTCATACACTGCTGGCGGAAATGTACAATTGTAGAGCCACATTAGGATACTGTTACCAGGTGCCCAGCAATTCCACCCCAAGGCATGTACCCCCCAGAACTGAAATCATGTCCATATAAAACCCTGTATGTGAAACTTCTCTGCAGCATCATTCAAAACAGGCAATAGGTGAAAACAACCCAAAGGTCCAATACTGAATAAAAAGATACACAAAACTGGTATATCCAGAAATACTACTGGGACATAAAAAGGTATGAAGTACCCACACATGTTATCACGTGGATTTGCGAAGTGACAGAAGCCGGTCACAAACAAATCCACATATTGTGTGACCCCATGTCCATGAACTGTGCACAATGGATAAACACTGAGAGACAGAAAGCAGATGAGTGGTTGCTTAGGGCCGGAGTGAGGAAGGGTAGGAGGAGGCAGAGATTAGGGAATGACAGCTACATGGTAGAGGGGTTTTTCTGGAACATGATGAAGTTATTCAAGAATTACGGTGGTGACGGTCGCACCACGCTGTGAAGACACCTAAAACCACTGCACGTATACTTCAAATGGGTAAACTGTCTGATAGGGATCTCAATAAAGCTCTTACAAAACCCATTACTGTCTAAATACTGATGGCACCCCACTTAGACTCACCAGATTTCACTCACCAGATTTCACAAAGAGAAATATAAATACAGCATAGTTCATACTTGCACCAAAAAAAAAAAAAAAAATTATTTACCTTAAATTCAAATTAAACTGGGCCTGGAGCCTACTTTAAAAAAAAAGGTGGGGGCGGGAGTTAAAATTACATAACTAAATGGGATAAGGGTCTGGTTGAGCATTACCATGACTCCTTTAAGACTGAAATCACAGAAATACAGTAATTAAACCACATCAAGGGAACGTTCTTGAAAATAATCAGCTTGAGTCTTGTTGAAATACTTCAGAATCCCCAAAACAAGGATAAAATTCGAGCTGCTACCTTTTTTCTCCTGCCCATACACATACATACAACTATTCAAAAGGGTAAAGAAAACATATGCAACTACTGAAAAAGTACTAAAAACTTGATACTCTTATTCTGGTAATCCAACACAATTGTGAAATACAAACAAAAATTTGAGGAAACAGAAGTACCAACCTTATTTAAAATAAATAACTACATCTTTATGCCATATCTTCTCCTAAAATAAACCGGATTACAAAAATACAAACAACACAAAGAAATAAAGTCAAGAAATCTCAACAGGAAAAAAACACCAGGGTAGAAGATAAATTTAGAAATGAGGCTGACACAAACTGTATGCTTCATGGTTGTGCATATGTGCAAATGACGGGTCCAAAACGTGGCTTTCTGCTTACTGATCCCATTAACCGTGTTATATGAATACTAATAAGCCCTGTCTTGCCACTCCTTACAGATGACATTTCTCAGGTCTTCTATCTGTACCATCTTTCTTTGGATACCTCTGAAATCTCATGCTCATGGTTTTTTGTTTTTATTTTGTTTTTTTGTTTGTTTGGGTTTTTTTAGATTTTTTATCTGTTTATTTGAAAGAGAGCATAAGCACGGGGAAGGGAGAAGCAGACTCCTTGCTGAGCAAGGAGCTCAACATGGGGCCCAATCCCAGGACCCTGGGATCATGTGAAGGCAGATGCTTAACCAACTGAGCCACCCAGGAGCCGCTCATGCTCTCGGTTTTGATTACTCAACTCTTCAATTCAAAAATGTCTTCAAAAAAAAAAAAAAAAAAAATCCACAGCTAACACCCTCTAGGATCATAGTATTTCCTTTCCAGTGACAAGCTCACAAGTGCAGTCTGCCTGCCAGAGTGTGGCACACATCCTATGGTGGCGTGTCATACCTGTCACACACTCTAATCCCAAACTGCCCCTCCTTAAGTATATGTTACATCAGACCAGAAAGTTACGAGTATTTAAAACTATGATGAGGCACCCAGGTAGCTCAGTCGGTTGAGCATCCAACTCTTGGTTTCAGCTCAGGTCATGATTTCAAGCTGGTGAGATCAAGCCCTGCATCAGGCTCCGCACTCAGTGGGAGTCTGCTTGAGACTGTCTCTCCCCTGCCCCTCCACCTGGCTCACACTTATTCTTTCTTAAATAAATCTTAAGAAACAAAACAAACAAACAAAAAAAACCCTGATGATTTAACAACCACTTTTATTTTTAAATCATAAACTAAGGTGACTAATTGTGAAAATTCTGTGCTAGAATAAAATCAAGTTTTATCTTCACCCATCTTTCAATCACACACCAACAGCTTCAACTGCCGGCAAAAGAGTCTGACATCAAAGCACACTCTGATTCACTCTAAAACATCTTTTCCAATTCCTTTTGCTCTACCAAGATTTATGTACAAAAGCTGGAGGCTTCTCTCCTCCAACCTTCAATAGAAGCACTTGGAATAAAGTTAAGAGGATTGTTCCAGCTGCTTAAAGTGCGATCCCATGCGCTTGCCTCCTGGAGGCATTTTGGGCTTTACATACTTGAAAATGAATAGAATGGGTCAAAGGACACAGTTGACGTCTGCATGTGATCGAAGCTTGGAGTGGGGAGAACAAGTAAGAAACACAGAACGGACTAGAGGGACACAGTAAACCTTATTTTAAAAGTACGTTTGACAGCAATTACTGAAAGATAACTTCCAACAGTACACATGCTACCGGGCTATTTAAATAGTGGCAACATCGATTTATTTATTCACTGCTTTTCTAAAACCACATACCAGTAACTGTATGCTTCTTGACCAGGGACTATTTGCATTTACTTTGAAAAACCATCTATGCTTAAAACTCAAGAACTAGTGTAACTAAGACTTTTTTAAAAAAACATTAGTGTTCTTTGACTGGAAAGAACACCCATCTCTGTCACTACTTTTTGGCCCTTCACATGCTATGATAATTAATTTTTTTCAATACTTAATGCCTGCTTACATTTGCCTAACCTACATTAACTATCAAAGAACTGAGATCTTCACTATTTTATCTGGAACTCACAAACAACCTTGTCAAAAGATATTGTAATTTCCCTCTTTTAGGAAGGAAACAGAAAGTAGCCACATTACAAAAATACAAACACACATGTGTGCATTGTTTGGGGCATTTTTATTTAATGATTAAGGGGGTGACAATGTCATTTGAAACACATTTTATTCCTTCTGATCAAATCAATTGGAACAAATCCAGAGCTAGACAACTTCCATACATTCAACGTAAGAATGTGTTCATGATTGCTTCAGTAAATTCTGAACTTCATCAATTATCATCTCAAGCCATTTCTTTTTTTTCTTTTTCTTAAGATTTTATTTATTTATTTGACAGAGAGCAAGAGAGCACAAGCAGGGGGAACAGTGGAGGGAGAAGGAAAAGCAGGCTCCCCTGCAGAGCAGGGAGCCCAATGTGGGGCTCAATCCCAGGACCCTGAGATCATGACCTGAGCTGAAGGCAGACGCCTAACCATCTGAGCCACCCAGACGCCCCTCAAGCCAATTCTAACACATCCCAACAGAGCAACTAAACAACCCCAAAATTTTCAGAACACAAAGAGGCCTTGGCAAGGATATAAAAACTAACTAAAGGACTCTAGTCTTTACATGTATTGCTAGGAAAATGTCACATCTCAACATTTTCATTTCTTGAGAGTTGCTCAAGGCATGCGAATTTCAGTAAATCTGACAAGGGGGGAAAATGTCCTAAGAATCCTTCTATCCTGTGAAGCAACAGCACCCCAGAAGTGGCTCATTTTCAAACACACCCATCCGTAACAGACTTCTCTCACGACGGACAACTGTGTAACGCATTTAGCTGACCTCAGTGTCAGTTCACACAGCGCCAAGGCACCAGAGGTGTCCACCTCCTACAGACTCAAGCTAAGACTCACCATTATTTTTTTCAGCTTGAGTTAAATGAAAGAAAATGCAATTCATATTTCCAGAAGCAAAAGTGGCATAGTTTCCAGTAAGCTTCTTGTTCTCATTTTACTATTTTAAGAGTTCTGATCACTCCCAGCATGGCTGTGTGGCAAGATCTCATTTCTGGTGGCTGATCATTTCCATGGCATGATGCTTTACCAAAACCGTCTCCAGAAGCTTGTTTTGATTCGTATTTTACTTCAGCGTATTTATACACAAAATGCCATTTCCATGGCGTTGTGCCAAGAAAGAAATAGCTAGCTTGGATTTCAGTTGACTTTGTTAAAGGAAATTATTTTAAATTAATGTGGCCATTGAACTGCTGCCATCCTTAACCTCAGAAAATACAGTCCTTCTAATTTTTGCTGTGAACATTTATTTATTTAAGTTAAATTCCAGCTCGCGAACGTTGACCATAAGGCGTCTAAACCTTCCTGCTACTATTTCATATTCTTCTTCTAAACAAGGACAGGCCCATGCCGGCCGCATTATTACGCCCAGCCAGATCACCACCATCAAGTGAAATCATCTGTGTATTTTTGGTGGAATCTTTAACAACTTCCACGCCCGTCAGGGAAATGGAACAAGGCTGTTTTGTTTTCAGACAGCAACAATTTGATCTCTGGTTTACTAGATGGCGCTCAAAATATTTTTCCATATGTTTTTCCGCAAAGAGAATCTGACATCAGCGTGGTTTACCTTTACCAGTGAATGCAGGCTTTTTTCACCAAACATATCCCAGAGGAAGGTCAGGTCTTCCTGGCTATCCACATGTGGCTGCAGCTGGGCTGGCAGAGCAGCCAACAGCTCATACAGACCTATAAAATGAAAATAAAACACAAAGCATAATCTCAGAGTGAGCTCATTAATTTCGCTTAAGGTGTGTGTAAATGATGGCTGCAACATGTCGTTTTTACTGGATCTGTATTCTGGGCCATCAAGTAAAACACATCTCTCAAGCAGAAAACGAACCTTTTTGATTTTTAAATCCCAAACAAATTAAGTATTAAGAGGCTAGTTTTTATCTTTCGGTTGTCAACATTCTACCAGGCGTCTGAGTTTACATCACCCGAGACAGAAAATGTGTACAAGCTTTCAGAAAAAGAAGAAAAAGCATACATTCCTTTCCTTAATCGTTATTACATTTCCCTCGATGTTTGCCAAAGAGTGAAATGAGTCATGAATAGGAAAAACTTCCTTAGAAGAGCAGAAAATTGATAGAGTGGTCCATTAAAAAAGGTTTTGTGGTTTCCAAATAGTTCCTAATAATATACAGCTTTGAAAACATTTGCGTTATCTAACATCCAAAATCAAGGTCTAGAAAGTAAGACAGATTAAACCATCCTTGGTGTTGCTTCATCATAGTCGCCTGTTTTTAAAACAACAATGGGGCACCTGGGTGGCTCAGATGGTTAAGCGTCTGCCTTCGACTCAGGTCATGATCCCACAGGGTCCTGGGATCGAGCCCCGCAACAGGCGGGGAGCCTGCCTCTCCCTCTACCGCTCCCCCTGCTTGTGCTCTCTCACTCAGTCAAATAAATAAATAAAATCTTTAAATTAATCAAGCAAGCAACACAGAATGGAGTTTAAATTGGACTCTAATCTGGGCGTACGTGATACCCTCTGAAAGAGTTGGGGGAAAGACGTGGGCTACTCGAGGGCCTCCTCACTAGAAGCTTCCTTGGGGTAGACAGTAGCGCCGTATTCCACAGTAGCCTACTGCATAAACCATCCATCTCCTTCAGGAGCCGTCAGACTCCGGTCCAAGAAAAGTTGCGACAGTGCCTGCCAGGGACTCTTCAGGGAGGTGACCTGGCAGGAGTCAGTATCAACTCTTAGCACATGTTTCACTTTCCAGGGGGATTACATGAGGTAAAAAGGACAAATTCCTTTTACTTCTGTCTGCTGTCTACAAAAACACCAAGACCTCCTGGGATCTACAACACACGGGGCTGTTGTTATTCCTGAGCTGAGTAAGTGCTGTTGTTCATCCGAGGGACAGCTTTACAGGACATTTAACCAGCAAAGAACCATAGACTATGGCCTGTGGATTAGTGTGTCTATTATCTTCCGAAAGCATTATCATATTCTGATAATCACTGATAATTCACAACCAAATGTATCAGCTCTTGCTTGGAAAGTTGGATCTGTAACTTGAGAGGTTAGATTAAACGCAAACATTCCTGGGCCTGCATTTGGCCAAAAAGAACCATAATACTCTAGGAAAAAAAAAAATTCTTCCTATTACATTCTTAAGTATTCTTGATAGCTTTTATTTATTCCCTTAAAAACCTGGCATTTTGCCTAAACCAGCTTTTATTTATAATTTCGTAAAAACATTTTTAAGGTGTCCCAACCTCATTCAGTGTATAATAATACAGGTCTCACTTTACTCACATACATATACACACACACTTAAAGTAATGACAACTGCCAACATCAGTGGTTAAGGTCAGAGGTTCAAGTTGAAAATGATGTAGAAAGAAGGTAGAGTTTCACTATTTTATTACTGATTTCAGGAGCAGTAAAAATAACTCCTTATTCCTTGGTAATATGATTACTTTAGTTAATGATACTAATTCAACTATAATATCATTTATGAGGTATAGTCATTGGGGGGGTTAAATGAGGTAATATAGTATAACAGCCCTGGCTCATGGTAGTCTGTTTCAGATGTAACATGGTGAGCTTCAGCCATTGTTGTTATTAATGTTATTATCACTGCTATTATTTTATTAAATATTTATTTATTTATCTTAGAGAAGGGGAGGTAGGCCCAGAGGGAGAGACAGTCTTTAGCAGACTAAGCGCTGAGCACGGAACCCGATGCAGGGCTCGATCTCCCAACCCCTGCGATCATGACCTGAGACGAAACCGAGAGTTGGATGGTCATCCAACAGCGCCACTCAGGCGCTCCCGTCATTACTATGATTGAAAAAGCAGAAGTCTGAGTCGAACAGACCTAGATTCAAATCAGGTCTACACTTCAGTTATTTCACATAACTTAACCTGTTGAAAAAGAAATGATAATCTGCACATGTAATAAAACTGAACAGAAAACACACAAACATGTACGTATACACAAATAAATGCATGTGACACAGGGGAAACCTGAGAAAGGGTAATGGAATGCATCAGTGACAACAACGAGCCCCTTATGATTACTATAGTTACACCAAGATGTTAGTTACCATTGGAGGAAGCAGGGTCAAGGGTACACGGGATCTGTATAATTTCTTAGAACACGTAAATCCACAATTATCTCAAAATACAATTAAAACCAAAGGAGAGGGCGCCTGAGTGGCTCAGTGGGTTAAGCCTCTGCCTTCGGCTCAGGTCATGGTCTCAGGGTCCTGGGATCGAGGCCCGCATCGGGCTCTCTGCTCAGCAGGGAGCCTGCTTCCTCCTCTCTCTCACTGCCTGCCTCTCTGCCTACTTGTGATCTCTCTCTCTCTGTCTGTGTCAAAATGGATGAATAAAATCTTTAAAAAAAAAATAAAAAATAAATAAAACCAAAGGAGACATTGTGGTAAATAGGACTTGTTACGAATTCAAGGGAACGATGCCCACAGCGGCACTGAGCCCTACAGCTAGCACAGAATAGGCATTTGACAAAATATGTATGTATGTTCTTCTTTTCTTAATATGTCTCCTCTGGAATGAAAACCCCACTGCAATGGTACAAAATCAAAACAACAGCTTAGCGAATACATTCCACTGGACCTAATACCATACGCAGAAAGAAAACCACCCTCGTCTTTTACATATGGAAGGTGTTAACTTTATCCAAGTACCGCTTAACTTTATGGGAATAAACCATATGATGCTTACATTACATTAATAATTTCTCTGTTAGCAGCAGCTCATAAACAGAGTTTTCTGGGCTCTCCTAGCTTTACGCAATCCTAATTTGTACGCCACCCTTGTTGGCACCCATGTGATGACAGCAGTCACTTCTCCTGAGCTCCCACATCTGGCAGCTACACCAAAGCCAGAAGAGACAGGACAATGCCAATCAGAAATGAAAAGAGGCTGAGGAGAGTTAGGAAGGCAGGCAAATGGCCTCAATGCAGGTAACATGGACCATCACTTCCTCTCCAGGGCATCAGAAAGGCCCCAGAAACCAGCTCAGTCCGTGGCTAAAACCAGGTCCCTGTTCTCACAGGTGCTTCTTCTGTCCAGTTCCTAGGGCTCCAACAGTGAACACCGCTAGGAAATCCAAATGTTTCTGGTCCTTGATGTTCAGAGGGCAAGTAATGAGAGTTTAGCTAACAAGGGATATCTTGAACAATCTTACCTACACCTACCTAATCTTACCTAAATCTGAGCAAGAGCTGGGACTACACTCCTCTGCAGTCATTCAAGTTCATGAGTGCTCCATTCCAGTGCACCATTATGGTACATACCTAAAGGTCTAAGACAAATCAGCCATGATCCCTGTCCTCAGACGTCACAGTGTAGAGGACAAGCACAGACAGGTCGGTTAGAAGTGCAGAGCAGGGTCAGACAGCATGGCGAGGCAAGGTAAGTGGTCAGTTCCTCTACAGGAGGAAGAAGACATCAGGGAAGGCTTCAGCAGAGAATCACCCCTGAGTTATGTCTTGAAAGCTTCTGCTCCTAAGAATCAGCATTTATGAGTTCTTCCGTTCTGAGCACTTCCTCAGCTCCTCTATACAAGCAAGTGTAGAACATGCCACCTCCTCTAGCCCAGAGGTCTTACACCTTGGATAACACAGAATACATATCCTATATGCCCAAAGAGAAAGCAAGCCTGTTTATAATGGTCTCCTATTTGGGGCAACTGGGTGGCACAGTCAGTTAAGGGGCTGACTCTTGGTTTCAGCTCAGGTTGTGATCTCAGGATCATGAGATCCAGCCCTGCATCAGGCTCTGCGCTCAGTGCGGAGTCTGCTTGAGATTCTCTCTCCTTTTCACCCCTCCCCTGCTTGCTCTCATGTGCATGCACTCACTCTCTCTCTCTAAAATAAGTAAATCTTTACAAAAAAATAATAATGATCTCCTATTTGTCCAAGTAAAGATTCAAAATGCATATTCCTTCAAGTAAAATAAACAGATGTTTAGGGTGTGGAAAAATATTCAAGCAGCAAATTAATTTTCAGGGATGCTAAAGAAATGTCCATGCCGGCTTATAGTATTTAGACTTTAATTTGGTTAGGAACACACACTCTGAATTACCTATTAAGTACAAATATCAAAATTTAGATTTGGGGGTTTGCCCCCACTTGCACATTTCATGCAACCATTTTATTTAAATTCTGCACAATGACTTATCATGACTACCACCTGTAGAGGTGGAAGACATTATTTTTACTTCTAGCTATTTGAGATACAACACTTTTTTGAATGCGTGGGAGATGCCTTCAGTAAGAATCTGGGTAAAGCTGGTTGCTTTTCCACCGGTTCTACACCTCTGTGTTTTTATCTCCACAACAAAACCACTTACCTACTTACTCTCTAAGCATCTCTAACATTTGCAGGTTTTTAACCCCTCTCCAAGAAATATTAACCTGGTATAAACTTCCTTTTCTCTTTAAAAACAACAACAACAATCCTGTCAGATGATCTCTCAGTGACTCCAAAAACAGGAATTTGGATTATAGGAAAATAACTGGGGCTTCTCCAATCAACACATTTTTGTGTAAGAGAAAACGGTCTATAAGAAATTTTGTAAGGCCTTGACAAGGCAGCTCCCTCTTCTCTGAGAGGTCATTTTAATAGTAGAAAAGAAATCTCACCTTTTATTTGGGGAGACACGATACAAGATACTGTCAAAGACACACACGAAAAAATTACCTCT